TAGGAAGGTGTCGGAGCCAGCAGCTATGGAGTATCACCTGTTACAGTGCAGTGTCACTTTCAGTTTCTCCCACAAAGACAGAAACTTCCATTACCATATTTCATTACTTACTTGATTGTCCCAGTGTCCAGCAGCTGAATTTTGGGGAAAACTACATGTAGTTTGCAAGTAAGTATGGTACTCTGAGGCCTAGTAAAGTGAAAGTTAGTTGTAGCCTGTGAGATCGAAAACCCAAAAGCAGAGTCATTTTGCATCAGAGTGAATTGAACGTAGGTGCTGTAGTACTTGAATGATTTCTCAAGCCCATCCCACTTCAAATTTACAAATATAATTTTATTCATAAAAGTTTCTTCCATCTGGAAAGCTTCTTATTGCTCAGTCTGGGGGTAGGTGAGCACAGCTTTAACTGCTAAAAATTTGATGAGCCTCATGACATTTAATTAACAATCTAGGTTTTTAATGGATCATTATAATTGAGTGTGTGCACATGCACGCTCTCACACTCGCGCGCATGAGCACACACACACACACACACACACTCTTTATTAAAAGGATTGTAGATCTCAGAGAGTGTGGTTATGAGCAGTTTTAAATTATTAGGTACCTAACTTAAGTACCCAGCTACTTTCTTGTGCAGCAAAGTAGGAGCTTTTACACTTCATCTTCTCAAAAGTTTTTTGTTTTATTTTTGCATTAATCTCTGAAACACTCAATGCTCGTGTCCCTTTAATTGAAAGGAAATACAGGCAGGCATTTTTCAGCAGAGTTTTTCTTATTTCAATTAAAATACTTAGAGGAAGTATTTTTTTTCATCTTTAAATTTTATTCTAAACTAGTATCCTAGGTTTAGTAGAAATAACAGTAATAGAAGTGTCTTGGCATTTTAAAAATGTTTTTGATGAAATGTCATTTTAGGGAGCGCTGCTATAAGAGCAGTGTCTCCCCTTTTGACATTCAAGAGAGGTATTAAGGCTAGGGACAGACATTGCACATAAACCACTTTAAGTGGTCAGAAACTGGATTAAACCTGTAACAGAACAGATGTTCAGTGCACATAAACCAGTTTGAAAATGTCTGAAAAATGGTTTGAGATAAACCTGGTTGAATGTAGTATCAGACTTAACTATTTGGCTCAAAACGGTTTATGCAATGTCTGTCCAAGACCCCTTGCTGGTTTAAGTTACATCAGAGTCCACCAGCATCCTGGCAGGCTCTCTGGGCTGGGCAGGGCTCTCTGCTCCATAGCAGAGCTGGCCCCTCCCCTCTGCTCCCTGGCTGGAGCTCAGCACAGACTTGCAGGCACAGCAGGATGTGCTGGCTTCCCTGTGCCCCCCTCCTCCCCACTCTCGCCACTCGCTGCTTAAGCAGAGATCCCTTTCTCCTCTCTACCACAGCAGGGACCATAGCCAGCATGTGGTAGGCTAGTTAATGCCAAGGAAGGGGGTGTGCGTGCGTGCGTGCGCGCGCGCGAAATTTCACTGGGATAGGCAAATAGTGACCTTTTAGGACTTTTGAAGCTAATCAACAGGCCCCCTCCTCCCCACTCTCGCCACTCGCTGCTTAAGCAGAGATCCCTTTCTCCTCTCTACCACAGCAGGGACCATAGCCAGCATGTGGTAGGCTAGTTAATGCCAAGGAAGGGGGTGTGCGTGCGTGCGTGCGCGCGCGCGAAATTTCACTGGGATAGGCAAATAGTGACCTTTTAGGACTTTTGAAGCTAATCAACAGGCCAGCCAGTAAACTGTTTAAGTAATGTGGAGAGAGGCTTTTGTTTTGCTAATTGGGTGACAAAGACTGTTATCAGTGCCCCTC